CTGGAGTGTGGTCGTGCTGGGGTGTGGTCGTGTGGTGAGGTCGGGATTTCAAAAACAAGCGTTTCGCTCGAGACATCCTCAAATTTTAATTCGCGGGCGCTCAAAAACAAGCGTTTCGCTCGAGACATCCTCAAATTTTAATTCGCGGGCTCGTTATTTATCAGGGAAAAATTCGCCGGCCTCCTTCGACCTCGTTATTTATCAGGGAAAAAATTCGCCGGCCTCCTTCAAGCAGGCACCGGGGGACTAGGTTTACCTACTAAAAGAGAACCCTGGGCCGGAGCCCTTTCCGGGAAAAATAGCCCCTCGAGGCAGCTGCCAGCGGGGCCTTCCCTGCAGCTCCCCTATGGGGCCACGAGACGCGCGAAGGGCGTGCCGAAGTGGGCTCGAGGCCGCAGGCGACCGTCGACGCTGTGGCACTCGGCGGAGCTCACCAAGAGGCCAAAAACTGTGTGAGAGAGAAAGAAATTTAAGTCGGGCCTGTCCCCCTACAGGGGGATTATGGACGAATAATAAAAAAAAATCAAAAAATATTCAAAAGATACCCAAAAATAGTCAAAAACATGATGGACCCACGAACCCGGAAAGGGATATAGACATGTGCAGCATGGTCACGTTTTCACGATATCCAACTGGGCGACACCTCACGAAACATCCCACGAGACACCCCGCGAAACATCCCAGGAGACACCTCACGACACAACCCACGAGACACCTCACGAAACATTCCACGAGACACCCCGTGAAACATTCCACGAGACACCCCACGAACAGGCAACCACTCAACCAGACACCCCACGAAACATTCCACGGGGGTGCGACTGGGTGTGGTGGTGCTGGGGTGTGGTCGTGCTGGGGCGTGGTCGTGCTGGGGAGTGGTCGTGCTGGGGTGTGGTCGTGCTGGGGAGTGGTCGTGCTGGGGTGTGGTCGTGCTGGGGTGTGGTCGTGCTGGGGGGTGGTCGTGCTGGGGGGGTGGTCGGGCTGGGGGGTGGTCGTGCTGGGGCGTGGTCGTGCTGGGGCGTGGTCGTGCTGGGGCGTGGTCGTGCTGGGGTGTGGTCGTGATGTGGCGTGGTCGTGCTGGGGTGCGGTCGTGCTGGGGTGTGGTCTTGCTGGGGTGGGGTCGTGCTGGGGTGTGGTCGTGCTGGGGTGAGGTCGTGCTGGGGGGTGGTCGTGCTGTGGTGGGGTCGTGCTGGGGTGGGGTCGTGCTGGGGTGTGGTCGTGCTGGGGTGTGGTCGTGCTGGGGTGTGGTCGTGCTAGGGTGGGGTCGTGCTGGGGTGTGGTCGTGCTGGGGTGTGGTCGTGCTGGGGTGTGGTCGTGCTAGGGTGGGGTCGTGCTGGGGTGGGGTCGTGCTGGGGTGGGTCGTGCTGGGGTGGGGTCGTGCTGGGTGGTGTCGTGCTGTGCTGGGGTGTGGTCGTGCTGGGGTGCGGCGAATCTGGTCTTGCAAGGTGTGGTACAATGTATGCTTTGTGGTCGTGCTGGGGTGTGGTCGTGCAGGCAACCACTCAACCAAGGCGGTGTGCTCGTGCTGGGGAGTGGTCGTGCTGGGGGGTGGGCGTGCTGGGGGGTGGTCGTGCTGCGGTGTGGTCGTGCTGGGGGGGTGGTCGTGCTGGGGTGGGGTCGTGCTGGGGCGTGGTGGTGCTGGGGCGTGGTCGTGCTGGGGCGTGGTCGTGCTGGGGTGTGGTCGTGCTGTGGTGAGGTCGTGCTGGGGTGTGGTCGTGCTGGGGTGTGGTCTTGCTGCGGTGGGGTCGTGCTGGGATGTGGTCGTGCTGGGGTGTGGTCCTGCTGGGGTGTGGTCGTGCTGGGGTGGGGTCGTGCTTGGGTGGGGTCGGGCTGGGGTGTGGTCGTTCTGGGGTGTGGTCGTGCTGGGGTGTGGTCGGGCTGGGGTGGGGTCGTGCTGGGTCGGGGTCGTGCTGGGGTGTGGTCGTGCTGAAGTGTGGTCGTGTTGGGGTGTGGTCGTGCTGGGGCGTGGTCGTGCTGGGGTGGGGTCGTGCTGGAGTGGGGTCGTGCTGGGGTGTGGTCGTGCTGGGGTGGTCAGCACCCTGTGACTTATCGATCGGGTCGTGCTGGGGTGTGGTCGTGCTGGTGCTGGGGTGTGGTCGTGCTGGGGTGTGGTCGTGCTGGGGTGTGGTCGTGCTGAGGTGTGTTCGTGCTGGGGTGTGGTCGTGCTGGGGCGTGGTCGTGCTGGGCGTGGTCGTGCTGATGTGTGGTCATGCTGTGGTGAGGTCGTGCTGGGGTGTGGTCGTGCTGGGGTGTGGTCTTCCTGGGGTGGGGCCGTGCTGGGGTGTGGTCGTGCTGGGGGGTGGTCGTGCTGGGGGGTGGTCGTGCTGGGGGAGTGGTCGTGCTGGGAGGTGGTCCTCAGAATTCTATAACACAAAACAAGCGTTTCGCTCGAGACATCCTCACCATTTTCTGAAAAACAAGCGTTTCGCTCGAGACATCCTCAAATTTTAATTCGCCGGCCTCCTTCGACCTCGTTATTTATCAGGGAAAAAATTCGCCGGCCTCCTTCAAGCAGGCACCGGGGGACATGTTTACATACTAAAAGAGAACCCTAGGCTTAAGCCCTTTCCGGGAAAAAGTCCCAATACTATTAAATAAAACTATGTTTGAATATTCCCCCTGTAGAGGGACAGGCCCGACTTAAAGAGAGATGTGTGTGCCGAGATGGACTTGAGGCCGCCATGCGGCGAAGCCACTGGGCAGTCGATGGAGCTCCCCAGGGGCCGACGAAACGTGCGAGGGGTGCGGCGAAGGGGGGAGACAAGGAGAGGAGGGGGATGTGCGGAGGGCAGAATAGAAGAAGAAGAAGAAGAAGAAGCACAGAAACATAAAACTTTCCCTTTCGGCGCCGGAGGCGCCGCCGGGGGGCCCAGGCGCGGATCCAGGAAATCCGTGCGGAGCGCCAAAAGTTCATGATCAGATGGCTTGTGCTTCTGTTCAGACAAATGCTTAGTTTAGCTTACGTTTACATGGCTTGTTCTTCTGCTCAGACAAATGCTCAGTTTAGTTTATGTTTCGATGGCTTGTTCTTCTGTGGATGTTATGTTTAGTCTATGTTTAGCGCCAAAGAAGTTTAACTATGATTTAGACAGAGGCAGGAAGGGCAGGAGGCGAGGCGAGGCGAGGTGCGAGGCGCGGGGCGCATGGCCAGGATGGGGCCAGGGGACCCGTCAGTCGGGCCAAGGCGAGTGGCGGAGGCGGCACTTAGCGCACTGCGGGTGTCCAGCGTGGCGGGCACTTCCCAGCCAGGTCTCACACCCGGGGAGGAGAAGTGGCCAGCGTAGAGAATCTTGCCGGGGCTCGAGAAGACCTAGTACGCCTGAGAGCGGCTGGCCAGGGTTGGAGAAATGATAGGACAGCGGCGATGCCCGATAGGAGACTGGCTACTAGTAGGCCCAAGACAGGGAAGCGCCAGGCCTCTGCTGTTTTTATCAGCCTCCTTGTCGCACTCCCTTGACATCTAGCCCGCGCCCCCAGTTGACCTACCACTAACATTAGATCGCACCACGAGCTGCTGGGGCGAAACTGATTCGCGCGTCCCATCCCCTGGAAGGGTTAAAGGTAACTGAAGACAAGAAAAAAAGCGCATCCTCGTTCTCCTCCTCCTCCAAATCCATCATCAGCACCAGCATCACCATCATCATCATCCATCAACATCATCGACGTCGTCGTCGTCGACATCATCATCATCATCATCATCATCATCATCATCATCATCATCATCATCATCATCATCATCATCATCATCATCATCATCATCATCAACATCATCATCATCATCATCATCATCATCATCCTCATCCTCATCCTCATCCTCATCCTCAACATCATCACAATCATCGTCATCATCATCATCATCATCATTCTCATCATCTATCTTCTTGGCCGCCTTCATCAGCAGCAATTTCATCATCATCATCATCATCAATTCGATCATCATCAACATCAGCATCGTCTGTCGTTATCATCCTTATAAACATCGTCTTGTCCTATCATCATCATCATCATCATCATCATCTTCATCAGCATCTTCATCGTCATGTCATCATCTTAATGATTATCATCAGCTAAGGCATATCATCCAACATTAATCTCATCATCATCACCACAATCAGCATCCTCATCATTGTCATCATCATAATAAAACAAGCATCACCACAATTCGTCGTCATCATCATCAGCATCATCATCACAGTGTATCGTCATATCATCATCTTCATCATAAATCATCTATGAGCGCATCAATCATCTCGTCGTCTTCATCCTCCACCGTCACCTCCCATCATCAGCTCATCACACTCATCACCACCACCAAAGCATCGATCAAAGTCGCCATTCACCCCGCAAGACACCAACACCTACGATTGCCCACTTCATTATTATCTTCATCGTCGTCCATCATTTCATCATCTCAACATCATATAATCGACATCATCGTCGGCATCGTCACTTCCTATCTTCTCATCATCATCATCTCGCCACCACTCCCCATCATCATCATCATCGTCATCGTTGTCATTCATCATCGGTCAGTCATCATCAATCTTCAGCAGCAGCATCACCACCCATCAGCAGCATTATCTAGCATCTGCGAATTTAGCATCATCGCGTCACCATTCATCGTCGATCGTTCGTCGTCGTCGTCATCATCACTCATCATCATCATCATCATCGATCTCATCTTCATCACCCACACCATCTCATCATCAGCTTCAGCAGCATCATACGTAATCAGAATCAGTATATCTTCATCAGCATCACCATCATCATCAGCAGCATCATCGCAAGCATCGCCATCTTGATCATCGTACCATCGCCACCCATCACTGTCACCGTCACCGTCACCGTCATCGTCATCAACACCTCCCTGTCCCTCATCCGATCCGCATACTCACCCCGATTCAATCCCAGATCTCCTCGTCCTCCTCCTCCTCCTCCTCCTCGTCCTCCTCTTCCTCCCCCCCCTCCCCCCCTCCCCCTCCCCCTCCCCCTCCCAGCGCCTGAGGGGCCTGCGCTGGTGCGTGGGCGAGGAAGGGGTCCTCCCTCGCGCTCCCGGCTGCCTGGCGGCACCCCACACCCCCTCTGCCCCGGCGCGACGTGGAAGCGAACGGGCCCGACGGTTGCAGGAAGGGAAAGAGGCAGGAGGACGACGAGGCGAGGGGAAGGCAGGCAGGAGGCAGGAGTGGAGGGGAGGACGACAAGACGGCGGCGGCCGCGACCACGAGTGGAGTGAGAGGGGAATGGGGAGAGGGAGGGGGAGATCCTCCTCCTCCTCCGCCTCCTCCTCCTCCTCCTCCTCCTCCTCCTCCTCCTCCTCCTCCTGCTCCTCCTGCTCCCCCTCCTCTTTGCGGAGGAGAGAGGGAAGGGCAAACTAGGCGCACGCGCGCCATGGCTGACCCGACCTCTCCCACCAATCCCTTTTCGCAGACGGGTGTCACAGCGGTGTGCGCAGTCGGAAAGGGGGAGCTGTGTACAGTGAAGGAGGTGGAGAAGGTGGCGGATGAGCATGAGGATGAGCAAGACAAACACGATGCAAACCTTTAGGGTTGGACCCAGCTGCAGTGGAGTCCTAGAAGGGTTCGATACAGCTATACTGGAATCCGCCCAGGGCTGCAACCAGCTCTAGTCGAACCCTAATGAAGCCCTAATTGAATCGTCGTCGTCGTAGTCGTCGCGTCGTCGTCGTCGGCGGCGGCAGCGTCGGTATTGTCGTCGTCGTCGTCGTCGTCGTCGTCGTCGTCGTCGTCGTCGTCGTCGTCGTCGTCGTCGTCGTCGTCGTCGTCGTCTACAGCTGGCAAGCTGGGGGGGGGTCGAATCCATCCCTCCCTCGAAGGGGGGGGGCCAATTCGAACCCCCTCATTCCAACGTCCACAGAGAGCGCCCATCCCGAGGACACGATCCCCCTCAAATTACGCCAGACTCGCGCTCCAGAGGCCACGATCCAAGTAAATTACTCCGAACTCGTGCTCTGGAAAGGAAATCGTGCTCCCTGAATGCCGATCGCCCTCGCACGAGGCTCCCAAAGGTTTTCCAAAACAGCGCCGACACGTACCAGCATGGCTCTGACATACCCCCGGGGGATTAGAGAGGGGGCCGGCGGCAGAGGGCGAAGCCGTTACGGATCCGGCCGCTCCCGTCCGGCGGGCTGGGCCGTGCGAGACCTCTCTGACAGAGTGTTTGGCACAATCTTTGGCACCCTTCGTCAGTGCCTGGTCAAAAACCTCCCTGAAGTCCCTCCGAGGGGGCCCCACTCTGCCGCCGGACCCCCCCTCCCCCTGGGCCCCCTCAAGGTCTGGAACAGCCCGGGGACGACCCAAGAGCGCCCCAAGCCGGTCCAAGTGAGTCCCAAGACGGTCCAAGAGAGCCTCCAGACGGCTGCAGATCGCTCCAAGACGCCCAAGATTGCCTCCAAACGGCCCAAAACGCCTCCAAGACGGCCCAAGAGGCCCCCAAGAGCACCCCCAAGAGAGCCCCAAGACACAAAAATCGTTGATTTGTCTATGGTTGTTGAAGGATTTTCGCGTTCTCGCCATGCCGGCTTACCGACGCTCCAAGACGGCCCAAGAGGCCCCCGAGATATCCCAAAAACGGCCCAACAAGCCCGCAAGAGGGTTCCAAGACAGCGCAAGAGGGCCACAAGACGACCCAAGAGGCCCCAAGGACGGCCCAAGAGGGGCCCCAGGACGGCCCCACGAGGGCGCCCAGAAGAGGAACCCGAATAAACATTTCGAGCTTTCGGTCCCAAGATGCCCCCAGGAGGCTCTAAGAGGCCCCCAGGAGGCCCCCAAGAGGCCCCAAGAGAGCCCCAAGAGGCCCCAAGAGAGCCCCAAGAGGCTCCCAAAAAGCCACCAGGATGGCCCGCAAGAGGCCCCTAAACTCCCCCGCAGAGGCCCCCGAAAGCCCTCTCGAGAGACCCCAGGAAGCGTCCATGAGGACTCCGACCCAAAACCCAAGCACGGTGGCGGGATGTGCCGACGGCTATTTCATAGCTGGCATACGCGCCGCGTCACGACTCTCGATGCTGCGCACCACTCCGACAAACTCCCAGGGAGCGGCCGGTGATGCGCCGCCAGCGTCCTCGATCTTGAAGAAAAGCGCGGAACGTCTCACCACAGTAGGGGCTCGACCACATGAAACCTTCCATGAGAAACCCAACCATGAGACCCCAGGAAGTCCACTGATTTCTGGTATGGGAACGTCACGCTTTCCGTAGCAAAGCCATGAAAACCTAAGAAACCCAGGATACCCTGGAGGCAAGCAGGGTAGCTCTGGGCTTGGGCCCCCACTGTATGCCGCTGTCTGTTCTTCGAGATTAGAGGCCTCCTGGGTGGGGTCCGAGTAGATGGGGTCGGAGGATCGCGCCGCATCGCCGATACATCGGCGACGCATCGGCGATGCATCGGAGATACACCGGCAATGTATCGTCGACGTCGGCGATGCATCGGCGACATCGGCGTGGGGAAACACGGGCTCCACACAGAGCTCTTGCTCCTCTGAGCGATGCGGGTGGCCGAGCCTGGGGGGGAACTGCAGGCCAGGGGGGAGGAAGGCTCGGCCTCGACAGAGGCGGGCGCGGCGCGACCTCGGAGCCAGGGCTGCCCCCCATCCTGGCCACGGCACACCCAACCCACGGCATCTCTGTTCTTGGGGCCCCACGCCCTATAATTTCTCGCCCAGAACCGACCCACGCCCCCCTCCTGGCCCCCCTCCTGGCCACTGCACCCCCAACCCACGGCATCACTATTCTTGGGGCCCCACACCCTACAATTTTTCACCGAGAACAGAGGAACCCGAGGAGGAAGGATCACTGCACCGACCTTACAGACGTGCGAAAGCGGATTGTTGCATGGATTTCTGCCACTGCAGCACCACGAAACGGCGAGCGAAAAACGAAGTGAACTTCGCGTGGAGTCTTTTCAGTCTTCATTCCTGGCAAAAATTATCCCGGCAAAGCAACCTAACAGCGATGTGTAGGAGCATATCTGGAAGCATTCCCCTTAAGATTCAGATAAGAATCCTGTTGTAGAATTCTGCTGTTCTCGCAGTCGTGGTCGCATTCGCGATGGCAGTCGCAGTGGCAACAGCAGTCGCAGTCACAGCCTCAGCCTCAGCCTGCCTCAGCCTCAGCCTCAGCCTGCCTCAGCCTCAGCCTGCCTCAGCCTCGCCCACAGCCTGCTTCAGCCTCAACATCAGTCTGCCTTCAGCCTCGGCCTCAGCCTGCCTCAGCCTCACCCTCAGCCTGCATCAGCCTCAGCCTGCCTCAGCCTCGCCCTCAGCCTGCTTCAGCCTCAACATCAGTCTGCCTTCAGCCTCGGCCTCAGCCTGCCTCAGCCTCAGCCTGCATCAGCCTCAGCCTCAGCCTCAGCCTGCCTCAGCATCAGCCTGCCTCAGCCTCAGCCTCAGCCTCAGCCTGCCTCTGCCTCAGCCTCAGCCTGCTTCAGCCTCAGCCTCAGTCTGCCGTCGGCCTCTGCCTCAGCCTCAGCCTGCCTCAGCCTCAGCCTGCATCAGCCTCAGCCTCAGCCTCAGCCTGCCTCAGCATCAGCCTGCCTCAGCCTCAGCCTCAGCCTCAGCCTGCCTCAGCCTCAGCCTCAGCCTGCTTCAGCCTCAGCCTCAGTCTGCCTTCAGCCTCGGCCTCAGACTCAGCCTGCCTCAGCCTCAGCCTGCATCAGCCTCAGCCTCAGCCTCAGCCTGCCTCAGCCTCAGCCTGCCTCAGCCTCAGCCTCAGCCTGCCTCAGCCTCAGCCTCAGCCTGCCTCAGCCTCAGCCTCAGCCTCAGCCTGCCTCAGCATCAGCCTGCCTCAGCCTCAGCCTCAGCCTGCTTCAGCCTCGGCCTCAGTCTGCCTTCAGCCTCGGCCTCAGCCTCAGCCTGCCTCAGCCTCAGCCTGCATCAGCCTCAGCCTCAGCCTCAGCCTGCCTCAGCATCAGCCTGCCTCAGCCTCAGCCTCAGCCTGCCTCAGCCTCAGCTCAGCCTGCTTCAGCCTCAGCCTCAGTCTGCCTTCAGCCTCGGCCTCAGCCTCAGCCTGCCTCAGCCTCAGCCTGCATCAGCCTCAGCCTCAGCCTCAGCCTCAGCCTGCCTCAGCATCAGCCTGCCTCTGCCTCAGCCTCAGCCTGCCTCAGCCTCAGCCTCAGCCTGCTTCAGCCTCAGCCTCAGTCTGCCTTCAGCCTCGGCCTCAGCCTCGGCCTGCCTCAGCCTCTGCCTGCATCAGCCTCAGCCTCAGCCTCAGCCTGCCTCAGCCTCAGCCTCAGCCTGCCTCAGCCTCAGCCTCAGCCTGCTTCAGCCTCAGCCTCAGTCCGCCTGCAGCCTCGGCCTCAGCCTCAGCCTGCCTCAGCCTGAGCCTGCCTCAGCCTCAGCCTCAGCCTCAGCCTGCCTCAGCCTCAGCCTCAGCCTGCCTCAGCCTCAGCCTCAGCCTGCTTCAGCCTCAGCCTCAGTCTGCCTTCAGCCTCGGCCTCAGCCTCCGCCTGCCTCAGCCTCAGCCTGCTTGAGCCTCAGCCTCCAGGTTCTTGACTTGCCTTCAGCTTGGCTCGGCGCTGCTAAGCCTTGCCTAGCCTCAGCCCTGCATCAGCTCAGCCTCAGCTCAACCTGCCTCAGCCTCAACCTGCCTCAGCATAGCCTGCCTCAGCCTCAAGCCTCAGCCTGCCTCAGCCTCAGCCTCAGGCCGCTTCAGCCGCCTCCGTCGGCCTTCCACCTCGTCCCTCAGCTTCAGTCTGCTTCATGCTCAGCCTGCTCAGCTCAGCTGCTGCTGCTCTGCATTCAAGTGTGGTCCGGGAATGGAGTTCTGGGACTCTCGAAGAACACGAAATGGCTACAGTTGGCTCCGGGCATTCAAAATGTGGCCCAGGAATGGAGTTCTGGGAACTAGAAGAACACGAAGTGGCCTACAGTTGGCTCCGGGCATTCAAAATCATACCCAGGAATGGAGTTCTGGGAACTTGAAGAGCACGAAGTGGCCTACAGTTGGCTCCGGGCATCCAAAATGTGGCCCGGGAATGGAGTTCTGGGAAATCGAAGAGCACGAAGTGGCGTACAGCAGGCTCCAGGCATTCAGAATGTGGCCCGGGAATGGAGTTCTGGGAAATCGAAAAGCACGAAGTGTGTGACTGTATGCGAAAAACGATCCCCCCCGGCAAACCCCAACGGCCCCCCAACGGCCCCCAACGGCTCCCCAACGGCTGCCCAGACCCCCCTGTGGAGTAATGTGCTGCTCTCTTTTTACACCACTAGAAACCTATCAGTCTTCGCTGTTAGGTAAAAATCGGCACGAAATTCATCTCGAAATCCGGAACGAAATTCTCCCAGACACGCTGGGCCCCACGAAAAGGCGGAGGAGGAAGAGGGTGAGAAACTGGACAGGGAGCAGGAAGTCGTGTCGAGGGAGAGAGGGACCCATTGACTGTGACCCATCGGGTAGATTCCCGCGTATACGCGGCGCCCCGTCCTTCTGCGAGCGCCTCTGACCTATAGGCCTTGCGGGCCTTCGCAGCCAGGAAGGCCCCGCGGATAATGCCTATAGGCCTATAGGCGATGCACTTGGGGGAAAGAGACGGATGAGGAGGCGGAATCAAAAAGGACGTGGGGGAAGAGGGTGAGGAAGCGCAGGGAGCAGGAAGAGGTGGAGGAAGAAGAGGAGGGGTAAATTAGGAGGGGGAAGAGGGAGCAGGGACCAGTGCCCCCAGGCTGTGCGCAGAGGTGAGAGCACCACGGAGGCCGCAGGGGGCGGCGCCCTGGGCTGCTGCGAGTTGTGGGTGAGGAACGGGTCGTTCCCGCCCCCCGGGCTGCCCTGGCGCGCGGCCACGTGCTGCTCACGAACGCTCGTGGTCGGGCAGCTCCGGGCTACCGAGCGGCTCATGAAGCGGCGCACGAAAGGGACCACATGAATGCGGTCTGCTCACGGGTTTACGCAATGCCCGCATACTGCTCTGCATGCAACCATCGCGTCCTTCGTTCCCCGTAAACCCTCTCCAAGAAAGGTGCACGCGAAGGCGAGCACATCCTCGTAGTGTGCAGCATGATCCTGCTAATCCTCCTCCTCGCGTTCCCCGTCCTCATTCCCTACCCATTCTGCTCCTTCCCCCTCCGCCTCATATGCGATCACCCTCCTCCTCATTATCCTCCTCCTCCTCCTCCTCCTCCTCCTCCTCCTCCTCCTCCTCCTTCTTCTCTTCGTCTTCTGCTTCTTCTATGTATTCCTCCTTCTCCTGTTCTTCCTCTCTTTTTCTTTGCCAAACTCCTCCCAACCACACCCGCACTCCCAGACGTGTGAGTAGTGCGGGCCGGCCGTTGCGTCTGATCCTGAAGACTACAATTTGCAACAGCTTCACGGATGCAGGGCGAGTCGTTGTCAAAATGCGACCCTCGCCTTATCACAGCGCACCTTCGGCTTGAAAATATGACAAAGAGTTTCACGGATGGAGCGGGCCGTTTTCAAGATGTGGCTCTCGCCTTAGCGCCGCGCATTTTCGCATTTAAAAGTTTACAAGAGCATCACGGATGGAGGGCGGGCCGTTTTCAAACTGTGGCTCTCGCCTGGGCGCCACGCAACTCATCTTAAAAACATGCAACACATTCCCGATAGATGGCGGGCCGCTTTCGAGATATAGCTCTCGCCTTAGCGCCCCAGCCCCAGCCAAGGAAGCCCGCGAATCCGGCGGTTCCACCAAATTCCAGAAAGACGTTGCGGGAAGTCCCTTCCCTTCCCGTCCCGCTGGGGAAGGGGGGGGTACCTGGGAAATCCCGGGTCGGATAATTACGCGTCCCCCCCGGGCGGTTCGGCCCTGGCCCCAGCCATGGCCCCAGCCCTGGCCGGGTTCCAGCCGTGACCCCGGCTTCCGACCCCGGCTCCGCCGGGGAAGGGGGGGTAGTACCAGGGAACTCCCGGGTCAGATGCGCTCCCCCCCCGGGCGGTTCGGCCCTGGCTCCAGCCCTGCCCCGACCCCGGCCGGGCTCCCGCCCTGATCGACCCCAGCTTCCGGCCGTGGATTACGGCTCTGGCCCTGGTTCCAACCCCGGCCGAGGGAGGCCTCTTCCCTTTCATCCCTCCCCGCGCCACGGAGGGGGGGGGTCCCAGGGAAGTCCCAGGTCAGGTACGCTTCCCCCCGGGCGGTTCGGCCCTGGCCCCGGCCCTGGCCCCGGCCCTGGCCGGGCTCCGGCCCCGACCCCGGCCCCCGACTCCCCAGCTCCGGTCTCGGTTCCAGCCCGGCTGGCCCCGGCCTGCGGCCCCGACCCCGCCCAGGCTCCGGCCCTGGCCCCGCTCCCATTATTCCCCGCCGTGGCCCCCGTCTCCGATCCCGCCGGCCCTCGTCGCCCCCGGCCCCAGCTCCCGGCCCCAGCCCCGGCCCCGGCCCTGGCCGCGGCTGGCAGCTGGTCCCAGCCCAGGTCCCGGCCCCGGGCTCCAGCTTCAGATTCCTGCCCCAGCTCCGATCCCCGTTGCCTGCCAAGGCCCCGGCCCCGGCCGCAGCTCCGTGGCCCCCGCCTCGGCCTCGGCTTCGGCTGCTCCCGGCCCCGGCCAGGGCCCGAATCCCAGCCCCCCCGACCCTGGCCCCGATCCCGGCTGGCCCCGGCTCCCGCTCCGGCACCAACCACGGACCCAGTCCGGGCCGCGGCCCCGGCCCTGGCCCCGGCCCCGGCCCCAGTCTCGGCCTCGGCCCCGACCCCGGCCCTGGCTCCCCAGTCCGCTCTCGCCCCGGCCCCGGCCCAAGTCCCCGCCCCAATGCCCTCTCAATCTACACTCCGTGGCCTCCAGATGCCCTAGATGCCGAACCTAGTTCCAAAACAGCGAACGAAGCCTGGAAGTCGCCCCAGGACGGCTCCAAGACGCCCCGAATGGTCCTGATAAGCAACCGGCGTCGTCGTCAACATCGTCAACATCCTCGCCATTATTTTCCTCCTTCTCCTCCTCATGATCGCCGCGCTCTACTCGCCCCTGCCCTTCCTTCGTGCCCCCCCCCACCACCTGTACATGCGACCCTGCTCGCCTCACTCTCCTCCTATTCATTCCCCCCTGTGCTCCTGCTCCATCATCCAGCTCTTCATCCTGCCCCCCTCCTCATCTTCCTCCCCATGCTCCGCGCCCTCCTCCCTAACCTCAGGGTCGGCGGCACCGGCCGAAACGCCTTCGCTAGCGCCTTAGCGCCGCGCACATTGGTCTTTCACGTTTGCAGAAGCTTTCAGGAGGCCCTTTCATCCACATCTTCCCCATCACCCTCCAACACATAAAGAGGTACGTGACCACACGTATGGGACTCCTCGTCCACCTCCTGTCATCTGACTCCCGGAGGTGGCGAACCTTACCAGCTGATTCGACATTGTCTGGCATCGGAGTCGATTGCTTCAAACTGCTCCTTCAATGCAACAGCGCTCGTCCAAATCATCCTGAACGCAGGACCCAACCACCGGCAATTATGAACACCACCGTTGTGAGAACCGCCCCGGGTGGAGCTCCCGATGGGCACGGAGCGCGCGAAGGGTGCGCCGCCAGGGGGCGGCGGCGCCGTGCGGGCGCGGCCGCTGGGGCCTTCCGTGGAGCTCCCGATGGGGCCACGAAGCGCGTGAGGGTGTGCCAAAGTGGAGCGGGGGCGGCATGCGAACCGTGCCACGGGGGCCGTCGGTGGAGCTCCCGATGGGGCCAGGAAACCTATGAGGGGTGTGCCATAGTGGTGGGGGGGGCGGCATGCGAACCATGCCGCTGGGGCCTTCGGTGGAGCACCCTGTGGGGCCACCAAACGTGTGGGGGGTGCCAAGATGGAAGGGGGCGGCATGCAAACCATGCCACTGGGGCCTTCGAAGGAGCTCCCTATGGGAGGCACGAAACGTGTGAGGGGTGTGCCAACGTGGAGGGGGGGCGGCATGCGAACCATTCCATTGAGGCCTTCGGTGGAGCTCCCTATGGGGCCACGAGACGTATGAGCGGTGTACTTAAATGAAGGGGGGTTAGAATGCGGGCGCTGCCGCTGGGACCTTTGGTGGAGCTCCCCATGGGGCCACGAAACATGTGAGGGGTTTGCCAAACTGGACGGGGGGCGGCATGTGAACCATGCCACTGGGGCCTTCGGAGGAGCTCCTGGTGGGGCCGCGAAACGTGTGAGGGGTTTGCCAAAATGAAGGGGGGCGGCATGCGAACCATGCCACTGGGGCCTTTGGTGGAGCGTCCCATGGGGCCACGAAACCTGTGAGGAGTGTACCAAGGTGAGAGGGTTGACGGGAGGAGGGAGGAGGCGGAGGAGGAGAGGACGAGGAGTGGAGGAGAAGAGGAGACGCGGGGACTGTCTCTTCAAGAACGAGGACACACAAATCAAAACGGATTCGTGGTTGAATAGATCCACAGGGCCTCACAAAGATCCTACATCGTTGACTATCTGCATGTCAACAGCGAGTCGAAAAGTTGCAAGACGGATTGTCATAGCCAAAGAACCCCAAATAGCCGCAGGGGACCAATCAGACCGGAAACATTTGTCATCGGTGGGCACGTCGAGAGGGGGAGCGCAGAAGTGCGCATGCCGACAAAGAAAATGCCTGCGCGCGTGCATGATGACTTGCATACGTGCACGTCCACACGTATGGGCGTCTGCGTCATCGCTGCGCGCATGTGTATCCAGACACACATAGGCACGCGTTCTTTCTTCTTCGCCTTCCCATCTGAGTCGAACTCATCCTGATGTACTGCATCCAATTGGGTGAGGACCTGAAAATATCAAAAACTACATCAGAAACAGAGACGATAGCAGGACTTGAAGGCCCCACGAGGACGCCACTGCTACTGACAAGATCACCTTGACAGCAAGACAACACCTCGCTTTGCTGTGTGCGTCTTCCATCTCCTCCTCACTGGTCCTCCTCGTCCTCCAAAGTCCCCTCCTCCTCCGAATCCCGACCGCTTCGCCGCTCCATGCCAGGACCGACGCCTCGAGGGGCACGCAGTGGCTGTGCCAGTAGTCGTCGATGTCGTCCTGATCCGGCATGGGACCAGCACCATCGAAAGAGTCGACCAGTTTCCATTGCACATGTCCAAAACATGACAGGCTACTCGGGAAAAGCTTGCACATCGAGAACACAAGTCGGGGATGGACAGACCTCCCCTTAGTAAAACGTGGTTTAGTGAAAACGACCTCGGGCCCAAACCTGGCGGGCGCAAGCCTGGAAAATGACGGCCGCGGCGCCCTCTCGAGAACCGAAAACGGACAATTCACTAATCGACGTGTCAGGGTAGGAGGTCTGTCCACCCCCGAATGATAGGCTACTCAGGAAAAGCTTGGGCATCAAGAACACGAGCGGTTGTGCGGGAAAACTGCGCCAGAGCCAGGGCAGGACACCGCACGGCAGGGAGAGGCTGCCGGCGACAGGACTTTTGGACAATGCCCGGGCTGGCGACTTCGAAAGAGACCCCATACCTGCCAAAGACGCTTACGCTCGCATGGGTGCCCAAAACCTTTGGTGTAAGGGCCCCGGGAGAACGATCGCACGGGGGAGGAATGGCGTCGGAGCGTGAGTGGGTCCGCTCACATAGATGAAGGTCAAGTCACACTCGTGCGGAGGGGCTCGGGGCCTCGTAATCTAGGCCACCGAACTTCGACATCGCGCCCCGCGACGAGCGACGCACGATGACCTTTGCGCCCTAGCGCCCCTGCGCCGCCCCCTTGGAGGAGGGCAGCCGCTCCGGTCGAGGCCGCGACTCGCGAAGCGCGATTATCCTCACGCCCCCGCGGGTGACCTAGGTTTTCACAATCCTCCTTCCTGCTAGGTGGGCACGCGATGGAGCAGTCTGGTCGAGTCGAATACTGTAAGCTGGGCTCGGCCTATTGCATCCCGCCTGACACGGGGCACCCGTGGTTTGTTGGCGCCGTGCAAGGGTCGAAGTATCCACCAGAGCGCCAGAGACTCGCAGGCTCTCAAAATCAAGTACGCCTCGAGGGGTCTCAACCCCAAGACGGGGGATAAACCCCACCAGCCCTCTGGGCTTAGGTGGTATAACGCGTGTTTTTCTTCTCTCTTCCACTGAAACCCCTCCCCCTGCCCCCTCCCCTGGGCCTGGACGGGGCGCGCCGCGAGGCGCTAGAGCGTCCAAGATGGCCCAAGATTGCTCCAAGAGGCGTTCAAAGTCGCAAGATGGCCTCCAAGATGGCCCATGTTACTTCAAGATGGGTTAAGATAGCCTCCGACATACCCCCAAGAGGCCCCAAGACAGCCCCAAGACGGATCCAAGCGCCCTTCGAGCCCTCCACGGCGCCCTCCAAGATGCCAAAACCCTTCAAAAACATAAGGAAAATCAATGTTTTTGGCATTGGAAGCCTCAAGATGGCACCATGATGGCCCAAAAGGGCCCCAAGAGGGGCCCAAGAAGGCCGAAGACGGCCCCAAGATCGCCCAAGAGGCGCCCAAGAGCGCTCCAAGACGGCCCCAAGACGCCGTTTGAGAGCCTCCGTGGGGGGGATCCGAATTAAGGCGCCCCCTCTTCCTGAGCCATGGGGCCCAAGATGGCCCCAAGAGGCCTCCCAGCCTCTCCCAAAGACCCTCCAGCCCGCCCTTTTTGGCCCAAGATAGCTCCAAGAGAGCCCCAGATAGCCCAAGATGGCCTTCAAAATGGCCTAAGATAGCCAAGCATGGCTCAAGATAGCCTTCGACAGCCCTCCAAGAGGCCTCAAGGCAGCCTCAAGATGGCCCAAGATAGCCGAGCATGGCTCAAGATAGCCTCCGACAGCCTCTAGCCGAGCATGGCTCAAGATAGCCTCCAGGAGGCCTCAAGAAAACCGGCGCCCCATCCGCGTCGAACCCGTGCTGAATCCATATCGGCATTGTCGGATCCGTGTCGAATCCGTGTCGAATCCGCGTCGAATACACGCCGAATCCTTGTCGAGGCTGCCTCGAGCCCGCGTCGGGCACGGGAGAAGGCACCAATTTTGGGGGACAGGCGAGGTCCCCCGAAGATGCAACGCGCAAACCAGCCGACTTGAGGTCCCGCCCGCCCGATCCCGCCTTTCAGCCCGCTTGCCCGACCCGACTCGACCGCAAGACTTAAGTCGGGCCTGACCCCCTACAGGGAGATTTTCAACGAAAAAAATCTTTAAAAAAATATCCTGGCGAAGGACCCAACCATATGCAATTGTGAGTACCGCAGTTGTGAATATCTTCTTCGGTGGAGCCCCCTACGGGGCCACGAAACGTACGAGGGGTGTGCCGAAATGGGTGTGCGGGACGCATGCGGGCACACCCACTGGGGCCTTCGGTGGAGCTCCCTATGGGACCACAAACGTGCGAGGGGTCACGAAACGCGTGAGGGGTGTGCCGAAATGAGTGTGCGGGACGCATGCGGGCACACCCACTGGGGCCTTCGGCGGAGCTCCCTTTGGGGCCACGAAACGTGTGAAGGGTATGCCGAAATGGGTGTGCGGGACGCATGCGGGCGGCAGCACTGGGACCTTCGGTGGAGCCCCTCTACGGGGCCACGAAACGTGCGAGGGGTGTGCCAAAATGGGTGTGCGGGACGCATGCGGGCACACCCATTCTTCGGTGGAGCTCCCTATGGGACCACGAAACGTGTGAGGGGTCACGAAACGCGTGAGGGGTGTGCCGAAATGGATGTGCGGGACGCATGCGGGCACACCCACTGGGGCCTTCGGTGGAGCTCCCTATGGGGCCACGAAACGTGTGAAGGGTATGCCGAAATGGGTGTGCGGGACGCATTCCCTATGGGGCCACGAAACGCGTGAGGGGTGTGCCGAAATGGGTGTGGGTGACGCATGCGGGCGGCAGCACTCTGGGGCCTTCGGTGGAGCTCCTATGGGGTCACGAAACGTGTGAGTGGTGTGCCGAAATAAATGTGCGGGACGCATGCGGGCGGCAGCACTGGGGCCTTCGGCGGAGCCCCCTATGGGGCCACGAAACGTGTGAGGGGTGTGCCGAATTGGGTGTGGGTGAGGCATGCGGGCGGCAGCACTGGGGCCTTTGGCGGAGCTCCCTATGGGGCCACGAAACGTGTGAGAGGTGTGCAAAATTGGGTGTGCGTGACGCATGCGGGCGGCAGCACTGGGGCCTTCGGTAGAGTTCCCTATGGGGCCACGAAACGTGTAAGGGGTGTGCCGAAATCGGTGGGCGTCGACGCATTGCGGGCGGCAGCACTTGGGCCCTATCGGCGTAGCTCCCATATGGGGCCAACGAAAACGTGTGAGGGGTGTGCGATTTGGTGTGCGTGACGCATGCTGGCGGCAGCACTGGGGCCTTCGGCGGAGCTCCCTATGGGGCCACGAAACGTGTGAGGGTGTGCCGAATTGGTTGTGGGTGACGCATGCGGGCGGCAGCAACTGGGTCCTTCGGCGAGCTCCCTATGGGGCTACGACACGTGTGAGAGGTGTGCCGTGTGCCGAATTAGGTGTTCGTGACGCATGCGGGCGGCAGCACTGGGGCCTTCTGCTGAGCCCCCTTTGGGGCCACGAAACGTTTGAGGGGTGTGCCGAAATTGGTGTGGGTGACGCATGCGGGCGCAGATGGGGCCTTCGGTAGAGTTTCCCTAGGTGGCCACGAAACGTGTGAGGGGTGTGCCGAATGTGGTGTGGGTGACGCATGCGGGCGGCAGCACTGGGGCCTTCGGCGGAGCTCCTATGGGGCCACGAAACGTGTGAGGGGTGTGCCGACTTGGGTGTGCGTGACGCATGCGGGCGGCAGCACTGGGGCCTTCGGCGGAGCTCCTATGGGGCCACGAAACGTGTGTGGGTGGCCGAAATTGTGTGTGGGTGACGCAATGCGGGCGGCAGAACTGGGGCCTTTCGGCGGAGCTCTATGGGGCCACGGACACGCGTGATGGGTGTGCCGAAATGGTTGTGGGTGACGCAGGCGGCGGCATCACTGGGGCCTTCCGCCGGCGCTCCTATGGGGCCCCCCAGCCACGACAACGTGTAAGGGGTTGCCGAATTGTGTGTGCGTGACGCATGCGGGCGGCATCACTGGGGCCTTCGGCGGAGCTCCCTATGGGGCCACGAAACGTGTGAGGGGTGTGCCCGAATTGGGTGTGCGTGACGCATGCGGGCGGCAGCACTGGGGCCTTCGGCGGAGCTCCTATGGGGCCACGAAACGTGTGAGGGGTGTGCCGAATTGGGTGTGGGGGACGCATGCGGGCGGCAGCACTGGGGCCTTCGGCGGAGCTCCTATGGGGCCACGAAACGTGTGAGGGGTGTGCCGACTTGTGTGTGGGTGACGCATGCGGGCGGCAGCACTGGGGCCTTCGGCGGAGCACCTATGGGGCCACGAAACGTGTGAGGGGTGTGCCGAATTGGATGTGGGTGACGCATGCGGGCGGCAGCACTGGGGCCTTCGGTAGAGTTCCCTATGGGGCCACGAAACGTGTAAGGGGTGTGCCGAAATCGGTGTGCGGGACGCATGCGGGCGGCAGCACTGGGGCCTTCGGCGGAGCTCCTATGGGGCTACGAAACGCTGTACTGGGTGGGTGAAACGCAAGGAAGAGGAAGAGGAGGGAGGAGGAGGGGGAGAGGAGAGGAGAGGAGAGGAGGAGAGGAGAGGAGAGGAGAGGACGCGGGGACCGTCTCTTCAAAACGAAGACCCAACACCACAGGATGGTTGGGAAAAAAATAGCCTGGCGAAGAACACAACCATATGCAGTTGTCAGTACCGCAGCTGCGGGTTTCATCTTCAATGGAACTGCCCATAGGACTACGGAACGTGTGAGGGGTGTGCCGAGATGGGTACCACTGGGGCATTCGGCGAAGCTCCCTATGGGGATCTGAAACACGCGCGGGGCGTGCCGACATGGGTGGCGGAAACGCATGTGCGGGCCGCCACTGGGGCCTCCAGTGGAGCTCCCTATGGGTCCCCGAAACATGATGCTGCTGCGGGGGGGGGGGCCGGGATGGGTGGCGGAGACGCATGTAAGCGCCGCTACTGGGGCCTTCGGTGGAGCTCCCTATGGGGCCACGAAGCGCGTGAGGGGTGTACTGGGATG